GGAATCCCGAAGTATCGATATGCGCACATACCACATACTATAGTTTAGTATATACATCTATAAACTCAAACAGCTGCCCGGAAAACCGTAGGCAGAGAGGGAGAAGAGGGCAACAAACGAAGGGCTGTCACAAACTGTTTCACCGGAGTTTCACCGACTCATCAGGAGGCTGATATATGTACATATCTTATATACCGTCACAAAGATATCAGAGCGCACGCCAAAAAAAAAACAAGAAAAAATCAGTTCATTTTTTATCTTCTTACTTCTCTCCCTGTTCAAAATCTCTTGCGTACAAGGCCGCCCACGTGGATGTAGGTTGAGCAGCAGCTGCCCCCACCCACGTGTTTCATATCGACCCGCTTACACACAGCCAAAAGGCAAAGAGGCGAAGAAAAAGGAAAGGAACAGCCACATATATCAAAACAGGGGGAAGCAAACATAAACAAATCCCAGATGACAAGTCCCACATGCAAGCACCACCCTCTCCATCACAGGCCAAACGACAGGACAAGACCAACCAGGATATCAAAACACCCTTGCCTGCAAACAACCAATCCCAGATAGCAAACCATTCATGCTCGCCAGCGACTCTGTGTCAATTCCAAGACTCCTTTGCGACTGTTATTTGCTGCAAGCACTGGTATGCTTCCATCTTTCTAACGCTTCACTGGTCTATGTATATATCGTATATATAGTCAAACAGAGCTGCCTACGGTAAACCGTAGGCAGAGAGGGAGAAGGCGACAACAAACGAGGGGCTGTGACAAACTGTTTCGTTAGAGTTTCACCAACTCATCAGTATATATTGTCACACTGTGAATCAGAGCGCGAAGGCTAAAAAAAAAATAAAAAAAAAGAAAGGAAAGGAAAAGAAGCAAGGAAGGAAAGCCCCACCTGTTCATCACCTCTTACGTACAAGGCCAGCCACGTGGATGACAGGTTGAGCGCTGGCTGCCAACATCCCCGTGTGTCACCAGGACCCACTTGCACGCAGCCAAAATGTATACATCAACATAGAGAACTGCCCGGTGAACCATAAGGCAGAGAGGGGGAGGAGGACAATAAACGAGGGGCTGTGACAGACTGTTTCGCTGGAGTTTGACGGACTCGTCAGGAGGCTGAACCCTCTACAGTCCCACCCGCTAAAGTCTGGGATTATCTATATATCGTCAAACAGAACTGCCTGTAAAGTCGTTGATGCTTAACCACAACAGGGGTTAAGGTGGATGATCACTTACAGTGTAATCAGTTACGGGACTCAACAAACTGTAGAAGGTTCAGCCTCCTGACGAGTCGATGAAACTCCGACGGAACAGTTTGTCACAGCCCCTCGTTTGTTGTGCCCTTCTCCCTATATACATTATATATACATCGTCAAACAGAGCTGCCCGGTAAACCGTAGGCAGAGCGGGAGAAGAGGACAACAAACGAGGGGCTGTGACAAACTGTTTTGTCTAGGAGTTTCACCTACCTACTCATCAGGAGGCTGAACCCATGATATATATTGTCATATATGTCGTCAAACAGAACTGCCCGGTAAACCGTAGGCAGCGAGCGAGAAGAGGACAACAAACGAGGGGCTGTGACACAACTGTTTCGTCGGCGTTTCACCGACTCATACATCGTCATAGGGAACTGCCCGGTGAACCTGTAGGCAGAGAGGGAGAAGAGGACAACAAGCGAGGGCTGCAACAGACTGTTCTGTTGGGGTTCCTTCTTCTTCCAAAAAGAAAGGGGTTTCACTGACGTTACATACACACAACTGCCAGTTATATTATTTTGCCAGTCCACAAAAGGCTGTCAGGCCCTCGGCTCCAGGCAAAGGAAACCCAAATGACGCCTATCGACCCCCAACCAGTCAAATTTCTTACAATTTTTACCCCCCTTCGCCCTACCATAACATCCAGACGGAGTAGGGATCAAATTGAATAGTCGCGGGCCGAGAGGGGGGCAGGAGGAGCGAGGTACGCTCGCAAGGGGGAGCTGCTGGCAGCTAATTCCTTGAGAAGAACTTAACCAAACCGTGTCGATCAGGACATCCATTCAAATCGAAACAATCCATAGACAGAAGATTAGCATGGCCCCTGCGGAAGGCTGGTACAGATAAATATATATCTTGTCCAGACTTGCACGTCAAAAGAAAAAAGGGAAAGAAAAAAAAAAACAGGACAATACAGTTCACCAACGGGCCTAGTTCAGTTGGTACAGCCATGAACGGTTGAAATATGAATCAGACCCAAGTTCGAATCCAGATTCAACAGATGACCAGAATAACATGATTCTGAATTACACGGCGCCCATCAGCTCACCGATGATATCTCGAAAGGTCATTTCCCTCTCACAAAAAAAAAAAAAGGAAGTCCTTCCGGACATCCGTTAAAATTGGAACGATACAGAGAAGATTAGCATGGACCCTGCGCAAGGATGACACGCATAAATCGAGAAATGGTCCAATTAAAATCCCACATTACGCACTAATGGTGAATAATCATATCTTTTTGAAGTGCTCAAAATCACTCCATAGATAAGTAATAAGATAGTGGCATTTATAAGAAAGATTTCTGGAAAGATGGCAAAAAAATCATTGTCAAACATGGCTATCTTCTCTTTTTTGGTCGGCGGCCGGTCAAATACAAAGGCCCTTTAGGGCCCAAATTCCCCCCCCCAAAAAAAAAGGAAAAAAAAAAAAACAAAACAGCTGCTACATAACAAACCCTTCTTCCTTCGGGGGCATTTTTGCAAATTGAGAGCTGTTCAAGGATACGTGCATTGTTGTCAGCGTCCTGATAAAGGTCATGGACCCACTTGTCATCTTCACCCCTCAACCTGTCGCACAAGGAACAAAGGTCAAAATGCAGTCAAACAGAGATTAACAAAAAAACACCTGGGTCCCACGGGACTAAATTGCAAGCCGTTGCAACCAATGCACGACAGCATAAACCAGCTCCCTTTAAACCACGAGTAGTCAGCCCAGGTATCGGCCGTGGAAAAACTAAACAGTAAAAAAAGGACGCTGCTCTACTGTCTTCAACCAAATAGAACGCCCGGTCATTATAGCTGTATTTGGCACAACTTTCAGCCCAGATACGGCAATAATTACCGGGCGTTCTATTCAGGTGGAAGACGGTAGTCGGATGAATTTGGGCGCTCCTGTAGTGGCCCGTACATTTCCTAAAATTGTGGCTTGTTAACGGGTGCGGCTTTAGGAAGTACTGGTGGTTTAAGCCTCGTAAAGAAGAGCGAAACCGTTAGGGGAATAAACAAATAAATAAACTAGGCTACCAGCCGGGCCCGGCCGTGCAGGACCAGGGGGGGGGGG